AGGAGTAACTTTCAGGACCAAGGAAATATTTCCCAACTCATAAGACATCATATAATCAAGTAACAAGAAGAATTATTATACCTTTTGAAGTCCTGAATACCTCTACGGGAAAAAAAGTAAAAGTTCTACTTGTTCCTTTTAACCAAAATATAATTAGATGTCTCACATCTTTCAAACATAAAGTAGAAAGTTAAATGTATCTAGATGCACCATAACGAGCAATGTTTTGTACTTAAAATAATAATGATTCATTTAATTGTTTGAATCAGTAATACTGGGCTTGCAGCAACTGGGCTTATGATCATTTTTGCCCCTTTCTAAGTATTTGGCTTGTGTTTACTTAACACTATGATTTCTTTTGTGATATAGTGTGTTTGGTTTTCAGCCTTGAGTTTTCACAAAACAGTACATGAGTCAGTGAAAAAGTTATTTGCCAATGTGTGTAAAAGAAAACCAGAGTTTTTCTTTGCAAATTGACATCACATATTTTAGTGTTCTATCATTTTTCGTAAGCTGTGTTTATTTAAGTGACTGCATTGTGCTTATTATAGCAAAATACATGCTTTGCACTGATAAGTTTAGCAGGAGAGAATTAATTTCTTCCCACATCTTTTAATGTGGCATGGCAGTTTCACTCTAAGATCAAAACACATAACTGAAGGTTATGTTTAATTTCTAAATCAAAGTGTTGTGGGAAGATGATTGAAATCTGAAGATGACTCAGATCCCTTGATATGTGGTTTTCTTCCTACAGAAACCTTATGGTAGACTGCCATTTCCATGTTAGAAAGAACCTAATAGTGATGCGATTAAAATAGTTTCACTATATACTGAAAGTTTGTGTTAGTTACTTCAGCTCTTAGTCTTTTAAAAAAAAAAAGAATTTTATAAGCTTCAATACCATAGGAACCTCTTCCATCCACCCAGTATATGTCCTTTTATTAACTATGGGGACAGAGGTCATCACTTAATTTTACCAACATTGATTTTTTTGCACAATTTTTGTGTTTCTATTTTGAGCAAAAATATAATATTTCCATTTGGCTCTTTGCCTGTATAAAATTGTTCATTTGCCTCGAAGGGTAAATGAAGTTTATGTGGCTGCATTAACTGTTCCGATTTTTCTGAGGCATGATGGATTAATGGAAATGGAGGCACAGCTTCTGCACCAAAGTGAACTTGTTGGTTTTCTAATTTTCTATTTCTTAAAGCAGTCAGGCGAAAATACTAACCTAGAGCTAACATGGATTTTTCTCAGGTGTTTTAAAAATAGAAATTAAAAATGCTGTCCCCATGTCTGGATTTCACTCATTGTCCCTTATCTGAACCACTCAAAGGCCTCTCTGTGTGGGGCATGCAGTCCAGTACACTCAGACAGCTCTGCTCAGAGAAGGAAGTGAAGAGTTTTGGTTCCCATTTTACACTTCTGGAACAGTTTAGGGAAGGAAGCACCTTTACACCTTTTATTGTTCGTGGTTGCTGACATCATATCCTTCCCTGACCAGTCTGTGCGTGTTTCCTGCCATTCTGTCAAGACTCTTCTGTGTTACTGGGAGGGATTTGTAGGAGGGAGGGAGAGATGGAGGGAAGGAGGGAGGGAGGGAGGGAGGATGGGAGCAAGAAAGGGAGAGGGAGGGAAGAGGGGGCAGAGAGAGAGGAGGTGTGTAATCACTCGAGGGAACTTATTTATAAACGAGAGCCAGTGGGAGAAGGATCTTTAGCATCTGTTCACAAGAAATTCTTCTCTACTTGGGTCTCACGCCACTGTGCCTTCATCTGTCTGCTTGTGCCAAACTCAGAGTGAACAGAAGCCTGCCATAATGAAGTTCCCCTTTTTAGTAAGCAGCCTGATTTTATTTCTCTTATACTTAGGTTGGCAAAAAGAAAAACAATGCAGACTGGAACTCTAGAGAGTGTAACTATGGTTGAGCGTTTCTTTTTCTTTTCTATTTTTTTTAAATTACTGATTGTTTCTATGGAACTCTGTCATTTTCCAAGAATGCTTCTTTCATGTGGAAAGAAGCAGCGGCAAGCCTGCTGGAATTATTTTAAGCTTATGGTTGATTGTCCACAATGAAAGTTTTCAGCATAACTTGAAATTCTACTACATGTAGTTTAGGTATTATAATCATTTCTTCATAGACATACAAAACAATTTTACAGATTACTGAAGTTATATAATCTCTTTTTTAGCCTTTCTAGGCTTCTTACAAATTAATGCTTGAAACCAACCTTACAATATTATTTCTGCATAAAAATCAGGTTTGAGAAATAGTTATGCCGAGAAAACAACTACATAACTGTTGCTGACCTTCCTAACTCTTTGAATTTTTACTGACAGCCTTGAAATGTGGTGACTCATAATCAAATGTTCTAGGCCATATGTTCCATGACAGATTTTACTTCAGGAAAAGAGTCACATCATCACTACATATTATTCTGCATATATACTTAATAATATAAAACTTTGCATTGTAGGAATGTTCAAAAGGCAACACTTGAAGAAATATTCATTTTTACAGAAACAAGGAAATATTTTAATTGTATTAAAATTTACACTTGGTTCTCTGTACATTAACTTGTCTATTTCAAAAAGGAAATTATATTTAGTGGCATTATTATCATATATATCATATATATATCATATATATATCATATATATATCATATATATATATATTTGACATCTACACAGTAAGTTTTTTTCCAGCAAAATATTTCCCACAATGTTTTGAGAATTAAAAAAAATTCTCGCTCTGCTCTTTTCAAAAACATCTCTCCTCTCACCGTGTGAAATGCGGGGTTGTGGTATGGAGGAACTCTGCTGAGTTTGGTTCATCAGGAACTCTCCCCGTCTCTCTGAGGAGGCCTTTTCTCCGGGGATGTTTCTCTACTTGTCTGGCTATTTGTGTTTTGAAGTCAGGATCAGAAGTTCTCGTCTTGCCCGCCCCGTCACCACACGCTAATCTGTTCACCCTGACCTTCCACCTTCGAGTCAATAAGCGCTTAGGCAGGCATAGTCCTGTAAACCGATAGTGCCACCGGCCTCAGCTAAATGAAAGAAAGGAAATTGTCCCATTTGCATTTGCTGTGGATTCATGGGTTGGCCTTTCTGTTGGCTTTCCTGTGGCAGAGGAAGCCCGTTTGTCTCTGTGGGGTCTTGCACATGCATGGGAAATGCCATTCTAACGTGCTGCTTGCTTCCAAGGTAAGACCGTAGGAAACGCAGGAGAGCTGCCCAGTGGAGTGATGTTTGAGACCATTTCTAAACATAGATGAATACAGTGCCAACAGTGAATATGTGATGCAGTTGTGCTTTGTGGACCTTTCATATTTTAACGTGATTCAGTGTGTCTCAGGATAGCTAATTTTTTTCCTGTGTATTTGTCAAATGTGTGTTGTTTATAGAACTCTAACACTTCTGAACTGCTTCCAACATTTAGAATTACTGCTGGGGTAACAAATAGTTTTTGATAAGTACTGTGTGGTCATGATGTTACTCAATACATGTATTCTCAGGCAAGAGTGAGCTGCAGTTTAATAGAAAGGATTTGGGCAAAAGAGAATAGATGGTCTTAGTATTTAAGCAGCGCCTAATCCCCCAGAACTAATTATATCATAATAGCTCGTGCAATTAGATAATCACAGAAAACTTAAAATTGTAAAAAAACAATTACTCAAGGTGGTAGAAGAAATTAAATTAAACAAACCAACAGAGAGCTGGTGATCAGACCAAGTATATAACAGCTTTCCTGTTCCAATAACTTTCTCTTGGAGCTAACTGATCCATTAAATAGCCAGGACACTGGCTTAGCATTACATAACCAAGGTGGGAATTTATCAGGTTGGTTGTGAGACACCAACTAAAATAAACAGGGAAATTCTGAGGGGTGTGTAAAGTAGTTACATTCTTTGACATGAGATGGGTTAGAATAATTGAGGCTGTTGCTTGCAAGTGAAGAAGCCATTGTGAAATGCTTTCTTGTTCACTTCCACACTGCACGGCATTTCTCTTTCATTACATTCAGATGTACTTTAAAACAAAGTAAAATATATGCTTTTAATACTGTGGATTTTCTGGGTGTATGTTCCATTACCGATGATCATTTCTTTACTATTAATTCATGGCCTAAAGATATCCAGTATACAACAACAAGCTTTTATAATTTTGTATCTTACTCCCCAAAGAGATATGATGTCTTTCCAAAATATTTAAATTTAGGGGATTGATGGCTTATTATAAAAAAGTGTAGTTATAAATGGAATAATATTCTAATTTTTGCGCCTTTCTTTTTTCTTTTTATGAATGATTATATTTTTGGATTCTTATATTGAAAACATAGCTTAAGGGCTTTCAAAAGAAAAAGAGATCTCCCTGCTGATAGCTGCTTGTTATGTAAGATTAAACATCCCATATTCTTTTTACAGCATTCTCATAGCGGTGGTTTTTAAAAAATAAGATTAAAAGACTTAGATTTAAATTAGTTGCCATTCCCATATACCAAATAGCACTTTGATAACAGTCCATCCTATTTGCATAACGAGGGACAACGTTATCACCTCTGCTGTCAAAACAGGAGATTGTTTTCCCTTCAGAAATGAATTAGCTGCCCTGCTTAGCATACACAGGTACATAAAGGTTCATTAACTCTCTGATTTAGGTAATTTTTCATAACAGAAAGGTGCAAGTAGTCACCTCATTTTATTTAAAAATATTAAGAAACTCTTTGCAAAAGATGCATTTTAACTGTCAGGTTTTAAAACATAGTTTTCATCATTTAAATTGCTTGTTAAAGTACTTATGAGATGATCTTAATTATAAAAACAAACCAATCCTACTTGATGTGCTCCTGTATGTGATATACTGTGTCCTTTTAACAAGCACTTATTTTCATTCATTGGGTTGGCTTACAGCCATGTAGTTTAATTTTTTTTAAATTAGAATATGATAGTTCTTAGGACTTGCTGCTAAAGGGTGTTGAATGTCTCTTTTTTGTTCAGCAGGAACGAATGCAGGGATTTGGGAACTGACCGGTGCAAGTGCTGAAGAAGGAGATTTGTTTGGAGGAAACAGGAAAGAGAAAGAAAAGGAAGGAAAAAATACATAATTTCAGGGACGAGAGAGAGAAGAAAAACGGGGACTATGGGGAGAAAAAAGATTCAGATCACGAGGATTATGGATGAACGTAACAGGCAGGTGAGTGAGATAAACTTTTTTCTTTCACTATGTACATGTTCTATCTAGTACATTTTCCCCAAATGTGGTCAGGGTCCTGAAAAATATTTTGAATTAAACGTGGCCAGTTTAAATGCTAATAGTCTTTGATATGTAAAGGGAAAAAAATAACCTTCTCTTGTAGAAATATAGTTTACACATTCGTGATTAGTTAGCTTTTACTTCAACCTGAATTCTAAGTGGGAGCTGTACTTGTGTAATATAAATAGCTTAATAATTAAGAGTTAATAAGCATAACATTGCTACATTGCACACATCACCAAAGATATTCGAGTATTCATGGGTACAAGGCCTTTTGTGGTTATCCATTTTAAAGGTTTATATTATAGGCTAAATATCCTGAATAAAAATAACTTTTATTCTATTCACAAACTTTGAAATGCATCCAAAATATTTAACTGTCCTGACAACAACAAAGAAAACACCCACATAAAATATTAGTAACTTAAAATATGTAGGCAAGGAGTATTGGTTAATTCTACTATTTTCTTTAAACCCTGACTTCTACAAACATAGAGGCAAGTGATGTTGTCATTTTTCCTAGGACTCCAGTGATAATACCTGTGTGATCCAATTCAGGGTCCAGCACAAATAATGCCCCCTGTTTATTACCAAATCTTTCATTACAAAGTCATAAGCCTGTAATTCCGTAACATATAACACTACCACACTCAAGCACACCATATGATATTTTAGGTGAAATGATCAAATTAAAACTATGAATTATTACATCCATGGCATTACCTGACAAACCACACTCAGGCAGGCCTCATACCCTGTATTCTAAAGATATTTTACAGCCAAATGCTCTGTTCAATAAATACTTATATATCATGAATATCTGTGACTTTTTCATACTTGGGAGTGTGGATGTAGCCAGGCAATGTAGAGAGATGTGTGGTAATTTGCTTGTATTCTGATGTCAAATACCAAGTAGTGGTTCCTGGGAGAAATCATGGTACTGCCAGGTCCCAGCCATTGCGGGTGGATAGTGCAGCCTACAAAGCAGGCATTCCTTGACTGCAGAAGAGAAGGTTCTTTTGACTGTCCTCCCTTCACACTAAAGGAAGCTAAGAGGACAGCTTTGGGGATGCCCTCTAAGGCTGTAATTTCCCCCAAATAAAGACTCTCTATCTCTTTTGTCCCTTTCTATCTTGTTGGACTTGTGAGACTAGAACTAATTCCTGGTTTAAAATGTTATATTGTAAAATGTGTAAATTATAATGAATATAAGTTATTACTTATGCTGTCAAAGCCAGAATGCTATTAAGAGTTAAAGAAACTTTTTGATTTTTATGTTTATAATTTCTTAAATTGTTATGTTCAAGGTACATATGACTTAAACTATTTTTGGCTGAAAATTGAGCTAAAGGATGAATAAGGCTAAGGTTTATAATGTATTCTGTTACTGTTTTCCTGCATATTATTTATTGCTATGAGTCAAGTCAAAAAGCAATAATTTCTTCAATATAAAACCACATTTTAAATCGGTTTATAGATTGAAATTAAAATTAAAACTGAAATATTGAACATCATGTACCATTGACTATTTAGACCCAGTTATTTGGACTAGAATCTATTTTAGATACAATAAAAAATTATGTGAATTAGCACCTACATTTCATTAATAATACCAAGTAATTTTTTAAATTCATTTTATTTTTTAAGTTCATGAAATTCATTATATCTTCCTTTTGCTTGCAAAGAAGGAAGAATTTTTTTGCAGGCAGAAATCGTACTTTATAAAAGAGCATAAAACTCCTGCAGGAATGCACAAATTTTTAACAGCCTATTTTTGACCTAATAATTGAACATCTTTTATTAATTTAAATATAGTTGTATCTACAATTGCTATGATCTCACCCATATTAGAAAAAGAAAATTTATTTAAATTCATCTTCATTTATCTTTTTATTAATCCTGAAGACAATATTCTTGATTTTATTCTATAGAATTTAGGCTCTTAGTCTTTTTTCTTTTTTCTTTTTTTAGTCATTAGGTATAGCAGGTCTTTTAATTCAAGACTCAGACAGAATTAGTAAACATGAGAATTGCCATGTTTTTAACATATAGTTCAGTGGTTATTTTAGATGGCCATTGACAACATTCAACAGCCATCTTACTTACAAAAGTTTGTCACATGCAAAGAGCGGTTGTAAGAACCATTTGAAGAGAGCTTTAAAAAGATAAATTACTTCTAATGATTCACACCAGCATATCTGCCATAGTGTATCCTATGAAGTAGGGAGGAACCCCTAAACTGAGCTGCCTTTAAACTGTGTTCACATGTTGAAAAGAAAAAGGTAACTGCTTTGCCCTTGTGGAAGCTTCCCCCACGGTAGACTCCTTAATGGAACCTCACACAATGGTTCACAGTCATCTTTTCTTAAAAGTAGTAAAATCTGCTCTGCTACTGCAGGTGTTTATTTGGCAATACAGAGAACAGGGTGTGTTTTTACAGAACAAGAAATTCTGGTGTAAAGTGTGAAATGAAATATTGCAGAACTGATGTGATAAGTTGTATATCATTAAGAAATGAAACTGTTATAAAACAGAGTGGCTAACTGTTTAAATAGAATTTTGCCCTTATTTTTGTCTTCTGTAATGGAAATAGGGAACAGCTAAAATTTAGAAACTCCAATTGTATACCTATAATAGTTTAGGGGAGGAAAAATAGTACCAGCTTCTTAAATTTTCCAGAGTTTCTAAGCTTATGAAAACTACTTATTTCTCAAATGCCAACCTACACAAGATGGATTTCTTGGGCCAGTATGTAAAAATAAATAAAATCCTAGATTCTCTCTTTGTCTTGCAAAAACTTTCAGATAACTTAGTAAAAGAAGCTACAAGTTCCAAGAACTACATACATATTATTCCACTTAATCCTTATCAATCCCCTTTATAGCTTAATAATTCATTTATTTATTAAATCAACAAATACTATTGGATTGCAATGTGCCTACCATTAAGTAGTCAGTGGTAAGCAAAAAGAATCTCACCCATCTTGTCAACTGCTGCAGAAGTCAGCAAACTTTTTCTGTAAAGGGCCAGAGAGAAAATATTTTTGGTCCTGTAAACCATGCAGTGACTGTCTCAATGAGTTGTGAAAGCGGCCATGGGGAAGATGCAGGGGGATGAACTTGCTTGTGGGCCATAGTATGGGGACCTCTGGCCGAGTGGATGAATTCAGCCATGAAACAGGCAAATATATAATGAAAGTTTTGTTCATAGATGCTATCAGTGATTTTCAAAGTGTTGTGAAGGAGTAATAGGAGGTGTTTTGTTCAGATTGGGGTCAGAAAATGCGTCTGGAAGGAAATGCTAAAGGTGGGAACATTAAGACAGTCAAAGTCAGGCAGGTGGCAACATTCCAGAGGTGACAGTGTTCGCAAATCTCCTTTAGAAAGGAGAGGGCCTGCTAGGAAGCTGAAGGAAAGCCCATGGAACTTGACCTTGGTGTGTCTAATTTTGGAGAGATGAGAGAAAAGATTGGACTAGGCATGGCCCAGACCATGCAGTTTTGATGGTTGTCAAAGATTTGAGTCCAGATCTTTCATATTAAAACACAAAACAAACATAATTTTCTTAATTAAATCTTATTTCATCCTGTATAATATAATGTTTAAGTCATAGCCTTTCCCAATTACATCGTGCTGCATCCAGTATAATATGATAGTAATGAGCATGGTTTTAGAGACAAACCTAATTCTGGTCCCAGTTTTGGAACCTACTAGCTGTATGACCGACCCTCCCACAAGAGACTTAACACCTCTCTGAGTCTCATAGATTCCCTGTTCAGTAGTAGAGTGAGGATTAAAAGCATAATACTCACCTCATTAGGTCACTGAGATGATTAGAGAAAAAAAAGTAAAGCACCTAACATATTATAAGTGCTCAATGAATTTCCTTATTAAGCTATTTCTATTAAGACTCATGCTCTTTGAACCATGAGCTATTATGGTAGAGTTAATGTGATTTGCATCAAAAGACTTCCTGCTCTGTGGAGCACATTAAAGAATAATACCTGAACCTTCATTTCACAAGAGCTTTACTTTAAAAGGGTATTGGGGAGATAGGAGGAAAGTGGAACAGAGTAAGGAAGGAGCATAAAGGTGCCTTTGGAAGCTGAAGGGGTGAGCAAGTCCTATCATAGCAAGAGCTGGCTGATGGAAGAGGATGGCTGGTGGACAGTTTGAAAAATCACTCAGAACATTTGCAGAGCAGGGCAGGAAACAGAAATGAGGAGAAGCAGTTTTCTAAGGTCTATGTATTATGGAACTTACTGTCAAATGTATGTTACTCACCAAATTATTTTGAACTATGGATCGCCATTCTTACCACTTCCAATTTCTGGCTTATTCTAACCCTACAATTTCAAGCTCTCAGTCCGCATTTTTATATTTTTACCCGGTAGCTACCTTCATCAATAAGGCAATAATCTTACCCTTCTTCATCTAGTACTATTTTACTATACTCTGAAACAGCCATATTTCTTGAGTTTTTTCCCTGTATGACTCTTTTTACAAACAATATAACTAGAAATCTATTATATCTGTTGTATCAAGAAAACATGTCAAAGTTAGGTATGGTGAACCTGTAACCTGTTGACTTGTATATTTGTATTTAAATTTTCCAGTTTTCACACTTTGAAAAGATAGGAGAGGTAAACCCAAATTTATTTGTGTGGCTTGTTAGTAAAAGACAATTAAATATTTGAATAACTAAAAGAGAAAAATATTTGACAAATAACACAGAGCCTAATGCAGTAATGTTAAGGGGAAAAGATTTTTAAATGTCTTAAGTTCTTTTCTTCCATCAGATCTGGCACACTAATAGTTTTTGCCAGCAAACAAAATTTTATATAATTATCAGTGCAATAACTGGAGCACAAATTAAAGACAATTAGCAACATTCTCCTGTTAATAGAACAGCAGAATCCCCTTATGACTAGAAGGAATTCA